GGTGGCGGAAGCTTACGCGGCGCCGCGCGAGAGACGCTCCTCAGTTGTGTCAAGCTAGGCGATCGAGTAGGACGCACTTTAATCGTTCCGCCTCCGAGTTACTCTCTCTCTTTCACGAACACACACACACACAACACACATACACTCACACACATTCTCTCTTCCTCTTTTTCCCTTCCTTTTTCTCTTCCTCCGCCTCTGCCACGTCTGTCTCCTTCTACGCTAGACTCCTTCACCACCGACCGACGCACGTCCACACACAAGCGCGAGGCCCACGGCATAAGCGCTCGTACAACAGACGCACACACAGACAAACACACACGCGCCACCGTCACCCCCACAGTCAGCTTTACCTTGGTCCGCTCTTCCTCCTCTTCGTCGCGCGAGCAACTCTTTCGATTCTCTTCCGCTTTCGTTTTATCTTCCTACGCTTCAATTCGCGGAATACGCGCGCGTACGAGCACCATACGAGCCACCCTCGTCCACGTCGTCGTCGTCGTCGTCGTCGTCTTCGCTGCTGTCGTCGCTCGCCGTCTTTGCCCGTCTTTGCGACCGTCTTGAGAAATGCAAAGCTAAGAAGAGAAAAGGCAAAGGAAGGCCACGTCAGAACGAGAGTCCACGTGATCAGCCGCCGCGAAGGGACTCCTCCGAGCACATTTAACGCTATACCTCCTCGCTCGCTCTCTCCCGCGCGCTCTCTATCTCTCTCTCTTTCTGTACGCCGAGTACGCATGCATAAAGCAGCCCTCTGACTACTGCGCGCCCTATTGTCTCCCCTCTTTGAGTCCGTGTGTGTGTGTGTGTATGTCTGTGTGTGCCGAGCGCGAGCCACCGGTGTCGTGGAGCGACAGCTTGCCGGACTGAACTGCAAACGATTCAAGGTCGTCATCGTTGTTGTCGTCGTTGTTCGTTGACACACGTTCTCGTGACACACACACGTCAATCGGGAACAAACTGGGCAAGGAATTATCAATGGCTCCCCTAGCTCCCCTCTGATCATCTGATCGTCTGATTGTTGCTGGAAAGAATATGTCAAGCTGAATGAAAGATCGCTGCGAAAAGTTACGAGAGACCGGACATTCGGCAAGAGAAGCCCCTCCGAGTAGCCGAGCAGTCAGCACGAATAGACGACGAATACATATCTCTGCAAAAAGACACGAGTCCGACCACGCGGCTGTCCCGTTTCAGCAGTTCTTTCGCCGATCGTCTCGAGTAAGAGCGATTGAGAAAAAAAGAGAGAGAGAGAAGGAAACTGCGGGAAAAGACGTATTTCTCAATCTCTCGCAAGATTATAAAAGTACCATTAATTAAGTCACTAAATGATAGTCGTTCGGACGTTAAATCGTCGAGGCTCCGCGAGACTTGAGAGAAATCAAGTAATAGTAATAAAAGGGAGAGTTTACGGTTGTTAGATGTGTAAAACGTGTAATGTGTGTGCGTGTGTAAAAACGAGTCTCGTCGCTCTAAGTTTTTAGGCTAAAGGTAGCGAGTTAAAATAGAGAAAAAAAAATTAAGAAACAATCGCGACATCTGCGTCGTCAGGTGACCGTCGAGGAACAAAAAGAATCGCGTCAAGACAATCAATTGTAATTGTAGTGGGTTGAGACATATCGAGGGAAAGAGAGGGGAAGCGTTTGCGACTTCTTTTTCGGCCAGGGCAGTAATGTACGTGTCTATTGCGAAATAAGAGGTCGAGCGATCGACTTTCGTGTCTTTATGTGATCTTCAGCCTCTGTACCGATTCTACGTGTGATTCTACACGCTCTACATTAATATCTATATTATATATATATATACACAATCGATATATATAAAAACACACGCATATGTATATATATATGTATATATATATATATATTTACACTTACATACGTTTGTACGTGTATAAACATATCCGATCGGTACCCGCGAGTCGCTGACACGTGATTCAAAACACGGCAGAATAATAGCGAGGAGAGCGGACCGTAAAGTGATAGGAGATTAAAGAAACATTAGAGGATAAAAAAAAAAGAAACCTAAGGATCTCTTTCTCTGATCCAGCAATAGAACCTACTCTCTGTCAATCTTCGTGACAATCATTTTCAGCTAGCTTTCTTAGTGTGTAAACTCAGAGGTGTATCACCTTTTTTTCGATAGAATAATATTCGCTCGTCGAATTATTAGGAAGGAATAAACGAGAAGAAGTGAGCGTAGAGAGGGATTTAAAAAAAGAAGATATATATTTCACGTACCTACGTCGTTTCAATTACACGTACGAGCAAGAGAATCGTGCGAAGCGAGAGACGAGTTTATCTCCGTCTCTCTCGCGCCTCTTCCGCACACTAAGTACATATTTAATCCGCACGCGTAAATCTCCCCTCTCTTTCTTGTCTATCACCCGCCTCACCATCCGCGCCCTTCGCGGATCTCCCTCTTTGTGGTTGTAACTGTCGCCTCCTTCGCTCGCTCACACACTTGACAATCATTCGGAAGCTCACGCGTTCGCGTTCGCCGTTCCTCCTAGGGCAAATCTCCTCGCACGTATCATTTAGATATCCCCCATTCGGCTGTCTCTGATTGCATACGTAGATAACCCTTAGACCACACGTCGTTGTTGTATCGATGTAACCGTAAGAGTAGTAGCGCGTGTGTACGTCTTGCGTGCGTGTGTATGTGTATAGCTCGTAAGTAGAATTCAGAGACTGTTCGGTATACTCACGTACGTACGTTACCAGAGGCCCTTCGCCAAAGAGATCCTTCGTCAAAGAGTTAAAGAGACTAACTACATATATATATCCCGTCCGGACGACTATCCGTATCCCGCGCGATTCGATCGTCAGCTGAGTGCGTGCTCTCTTTCTCTCTCTTTCTACATCGCTGTTCTATCGAGAACGGCGTAGGACTCGCCGTAACGAGAAGTCAGAACGGACGTCAGGTCAGTCGGCGGGCCATTGAACAAAAGGAGAGGAAAAGAAAACGGCCGGTCGTACGTCCTATCCCAAGGGGAGGACGACGAGGTAGCAAAAATAAGAGAGACACGAGGAAAACGAGCGTCCCTGAACGGGGACCGGCGGGGAGAGGACAAGGGAGGGTACTCGTTCAAACTGTGGTGGCCCTCGTACGACGAGTGGAGTCGTTCGTGCAAAACGGAAACCGCTCGCTGCCAGGCCGCGTCGCTGGAACGTGCCTGCTGGAACGCACAGGAACGCGCACGGACCCTCTGGGGCCTGCAGCAGTCGTTCGCGGCCGCCGCGAATCGCAATCTCTTTCTACATCCATCGAGCAAATCCTGGCTCGCGGAGACGATCATCGGCGCTGACGAGACACGTTCCCCCATCACCACGTATTTTCATTCGTACCCGTTCGTCCCGGGTGGTGCGGTGCCCCTGCCCCCGCCTCTGCTGAACGGCATTAACAACCCGGCGGCAGCAGCGATCACCCCGGGGCTGGTAGGACATCTCTTTGGTGCTCAGCAGGCCTGCAACCTCGCCTGCACTTGCTCTTGCAACATCGTTGCTAACTGCAACCCCCACCATCATCAACACCACCATCAGCAGCAACACCAGCAGCAGCAGCAGCAGCAACAGCAGCAGCAGCAGCAGCATCAGCATCACAGGACACTCGGTACCACGGCGGTCCTGCTGCAACCAGTTGATCATATCAAAGACACTATGGTGAGTCCACCTTTCTTCGCTCAATCGTTGCCACGAGGAATTCTGCCGAAGGTTAGTCCATCTTCTCTGACAGTATCAATTATCTAGCGATAGATCTGATGATTCGGATCCAATCATGTCCTCTTCCTGTGGTCTATATCAATAATTATCGAAGACACTATGGACAATGATATCCTATACAGAGTTGTTAATATTTTCAATCTAATTAATGAAATAACGATAGTCTCATTAATTGCTTTGTTAACTCTTATAAATAGCCTCAAAGAATTTGCAACGACTAGCTCGTTAGAATAGATCGTTATTCGTCGACCATCCAGTTTGCATCCTCTTATGCAATTACGTCGATCGCGCGGGAATCAGTTGCCTTTCGCGTCTCGAGCGCGCTATATATTCGCAATCTTGACAATGGCGCTATACCCGATGGGAATTCCGAGCATCCGCGTACTCCGCGTGTCTCCGAAGACAAAGCTCTCACGGGGGTTCCTAGGAGGTAACGAACCCTCCGGCAGCCAGTAACGAGGGTACTTACTTACTACCGGGCACGAGTAATATTCCTGTGCACGGCGAAGGATAGAGGCAGTGAATCAGGAATGGATTTAGTCGCGACGAGCCACGATGAATTACTTCCTACGTTTGCCATGTAAACAGGAGGGTGTATCCTCAACCGAAAACCTGAGCCTCGGTGTAAATTCGTTGCCTCCGTTCACGCTCCTCTCCCCCTTCTCCTCTTTCTTCTCCTCCGCTGCCGCTTGGTAAACCTTTCGCGGGGAACGCGCGCGCTTTAAATCCCGGACTGTCTCTACGGGGGTATCCTCTTTAATCCTTCGATCGACAGGTGTCGAGTAAGAGAGGAGAGAAGGAGCGAGAGAACGTGAGCGGAGGCGTCCCGCTTCACGACGTGACATCCCGCGCGATCGAGAATCCCGAACAAACCTCCTTTCCGCCTGATCGGATGATCGCGTCGCTCATCGATCCTCCAGTACTCCGGTACCGGCACGAGAACCTAATTTTCTCACCCGTTTCGCATTCCGGGTCCTTCGTCCTCTCTCTCGGTCCCTCTCTTCCTTCCTTCCTCTCTCTCAGTCCGCTGTCGTTTCGTCTCATCCACCTTCGTGCCCGAGTTTCGCCGCGCCTCGTCAAGCACGTAGCGAAAGAATCGCATTATCGCCGACGGCGTTCGACGTACTTGATATTTTGTAGTTTCTCTCTCTCTCTCTCTCTCTATATATATATATATATATATATATGTATGTATATATATATATGTATATCTATTGCACGCACGTTTAATTGGCGCACATGTAATCTCCAGCCGCAGTTGTTGGAGCGCGGAACTTGCCGCGAGTGTGGGAGTCAAGACGGGCGTGTCGGATGAGATCGCAAAGTTTGCCTACTACGATCGTACGCGGCATCGAGATCTCGCCAGATAGTGCGGGCTCGAGGAGCGAATCTAATTTGGTAATCATTCGATCTGTTGGAACACGTAATTCTGTGTACCGCTAGAAAATTCGCCCGTTCCGGCCCGCTCGATCTCGTTGCGAATTAAAAATCATTATAGGTAGTTCCACGTGTCGCTGAATATTCACACGATTATCCCGCAGTTTCCGCTTCCTATGAACGGATTACGCTCGAGAAGTTGGAAAGAATGGTCGTTACCTCCTTGACGGGTCGTTCGAATGCACCACGTTCGCGGAAAGATTTACGTGCTCTCCGGATTTGCGCGAGTCGCGATTTTACGTGTTTAAAATAAACCGGTCGCTCGGTATCTCTTCTTTTTTTTCTCTTTTCGCGCTTTAGATCTATCGACATCGTTGCGAAAGGAATTACCCTTCTTTTTTGATAATTGATTGATTTATGTTTGCGCGAATCTCAAATCGGGTGAAATATATCACCACTGAATATATTCCGTTTAGAAAAGATCAATGTTTATTGCTGTGAATTTTTTAAAACTAATATCGATATATTATAGGGCTGTCTTTTTAAGAATTTTTTATCCAAATTATTTGTAGAGCTTGAAAATTCTTGTTGACATTGCGATCCTTCAAGTAGTCGTCGAGATCGTTTCGGTGGCAATTGCTTTCGCATCCCGTCAAGCGAGGTAATTATGTTAAGTGCCTCGTTCGAGCTCCCATTTTAAGGGATGGTACGACGCGCGACTCATTTCGTAACGATATGCGGAGTTTCCGTTCCCCTTTTCCATCCCGTTCTTGTGGCCCTTTTCATGTTTCCGATAAAATAGGTCATCCTCTCCCTCAACGAGTGTATCTACGGTTTCTTTCTCCTCTCGAATGAGGCTTATAGGAAATGTCAACAGCAATGGAAGAGATGGAAAATTCACGGAAAAAGGAATGCGCACTCGATGGAAATCTCTTTGGAAATCTGCTTTCTTGCTCGTTATTGCAATATTCCTCGGGCGCATTAAGATTAATGTAACACGTGTATTACATCGAAAATGGCATGCGCGACGAACGTCTAATATTGTCAGAGAGAGAGAGGGGGGAAGGGTTGAATTTTATTCGAAAAGGACAGAGCTTCGGAAGAGGCAAGACTAAGGTGCGAAAAATACTGTCTTTCAGATTTACTTCCCGCAAACATTTTTTAGCATTCAGCTTTCTTTCGTTGCAGTATTTTCAATCTGTCGATTCTCCACGAAAACGCAGAGTGAAATAATGAATACATCGATTTTTGCGGTGTCTCGTGCAACGGAATAGGACGAATATGCATTTTACTGTCATTTCTAATGACATTTGGAAACACTATTGAGATATGAGAAAATTTTAACACGATTGATTCATTCTGCTTCCGCAATTATTTTATTTGACGTTCTGAAATTTTTTAAAGAGAAAAAGACGGTATTACGATTTGTCGTTTGCATTGATATTTCGCGATACAAATGAGCGAGATATCTTCATCTCTTTTTAAGAGAAATCTTTTATTTAGTCCAAGCCGATTTTTATAACTTATAAAAATATTAGATAATAATTTTATTAGCATCAAATTATTATCTAATATTTTTATAAGTTATAAAAATATTTTTGTTTATACGATTGCGTTTCAAGACTGAAAAAATTTCAGTGCACGATTTGCAAAATTGGATATATATACATATATATATAAATCTACACCGAAATATTTGAGTTTAAGATCCGCTTTGACCGAGTATATCGTTTTTATTACTTGCAATTGAGATGTATTCTCATCGGCGTTATATTCGTCTTTTTTCCTTACGTTTGTGATGTAAACGCTGACAGACGTTTGGAGGGTCATATTCTGAAATTAAATCAGGTAATGTCGTTTTAAACGTAGCGCTACTGTTAATCAAAACGGAGTGTCTCTGCGGGAGATAATTATCGGACGTCGCTTTTGAGCGAGGAAACCACCGGTCTTTTCCCACACGTACGTAATCCTTTCTCGGTTCTTGCCCTTTCCCTTCCAAATGAGACGCCGTCATCGCTCCGTTTAATAGCCCCCTCGTATTCCGTCGACGAATTCGCCGAATGGTTCGCAACTCCAGCAGCTAGGGTGAAAAGCTGGCGACGCGTCGAAATGAAAATGGACGTAAACTCCCGAACGAGAACCATTTCGACGCGACTTCGTGCATCTCACCCTCGCGCGTCTTTCCCTACCTGTCTTCCTGTGCGCGTTCACCAAGTGTGACGTGTGCATCAACCCGCCAACGCCAAATCCGATACGCCATATCCACGACCGGAAATTCAGTGCGCCCGTACTTCGTATCGTGTGAGAAAAAATTGATACTTTTCCGTCAGCCAAGACGCTTTTCGCGCGAACCTCGTTCTCTATTCATTACTCTATTACATTACACTGCTCAAAAGGAAAAACGAGAGCAATTACATAAAGGAATTCAAAGAAAAGTGATAAACAGAATAAAAACCGAGTAGGATCCAAGTATTGATTAAAATTCGTAATAATTGTCAATTAAACAAGACAACAAATGTTTCGACCTTAGGTCATGTTTAGTGTGTTAAATTATAAATTTAATATTGTGTCATATCAATCAGTCTTAATGAGACCTAATGAATTCGAAAGCGATGCGATGGAATGTATATTAATGTTCGTGTAATAAATAAAGGAATTTTAATTTAAAGGACTTTTGTATCTAGGTGAGGTTTATTTTTGAAATGTTTCCTTTGTCAAAATAGTAACTGTATAGCGTTTTCGTTGAAGTCCTGGTTCTTAGAATTCACCTTGCATACTTTTGCGATGATAAAGCGCGAAAATATTGTGTGTACGCGGCTTTATAATGACCGCGATAATTTTGTCCCGTTTGAGTATACATAATTAGAGTAACGTCATACGTGACATAATGTGCGCTCTAACATGTAGCCGCACATGGAGCACACATAAGCTCGGTAAACTCCATCGTGGTATATTCATCAGGAAACTCGTGTCCAACAGTTTCTCATGCCAAGTTAAATTGTAGCGAAGAACTGCCGCTTGTGTTGCAACCGCATTGACCGTACGTCACATAAGCCTTACTCACACGTCACTCATGCTTCTTCGAGAATTCGGAAGTTCTTGTAGGATCATGTTTGACCGAGCTGCTTGGCACATACTCGTGCGGCGTTTTCGATTAGTCAGTACTAAGCCCTGATCGAGCCTTTTAAATTGCAGATATTTGTGTACGACACGAAAATACGAAACGTGTAAAGAGATACGTGATATACTGTAAATCAATTTCATGTAAAATTACAATAATTAGTATAGTAGATGTATAATTTTGGGATATATACACGGAAAAAAATGTATTAACAATATTAGTAACAGTAATCTAATTGAAAATAATCATGTTAGTTTCATAACAATATTAATGAAACAAATTCTCTCCCTCTCTCTCTCTCTCTCTCTCTCTCTCTCTCTCTCTCTCTCTCTCTTGTTTCAATAAAATATTGTTAATACTGTCATTAAATTTAACAAGATTATTTTCAGTTAGATTGCTATTGGCTAATGTGATCAGCGCATTATTTTTTACGTGTATTTAC